TGAAAGCATTTTGTAAAACTGCAAAGTGTAAAGCAAACGTAACATAGTATATACGTATAATATATTGAAGAGCACTGCTGTTTTTGTAAAAGCATTATTTTTTTCAAGATACAACACATTTTGATATAGCTATTTCATACAGTCTCACAATGGCTCCCTTAAACTATAAAAATACTTTATAAAGAGTTAAAAAAAGAATACATTTATTAAAAAACCTAACAAATATCTAAGAAATAAAAGTGAGTGTTATCCTTGCTCATTTTCCAGTTCTGAGACCTGCCGCATCAAAACAGGGAAAAGGAAGGAAAGGATGCCTGCATGGCATTTTTTTTTTTTAATGCTAGTTTTATGAATTTATAGACACTCCAGGTTTAAAAAGCCTTTACTGAACACATCCTTTACATCAGGCATTAAGCTATTTTAGGGGGACAGACTTGACATAGGGGGTATGGGTATGGAATGGGAGTGTCCAAGAAGTCTGGAGTCCACATTTTTTCTCCAGTCAAGTCTCAATGTTGACAGTGGCCAGGGGCCAGGGGCCGGGGCCAGGGGCAAAGGGGAGAGGGACACATGTGCAGGGATGTGTTGCTTTGTACGGTTCTTAGTAATAAAGGACAATAGTTGGAGATGTTATTGTTTAAATATTAAGACAAATTTAAGGCAAATAATTCTATCTTTTTTGGGTAGAGAAGTATGTTTCAAACATGGCACCAACAGGAAAAAAGAGTGATAGTTTTGATTGTTATGACAAAACGCTTATAAACCCATTTCAAAGATAATGAACTGAGATTTTGAACATATATGAAAGAAGGTTACACTGCAAACGGATCCAGAAAGAAAACACTTTGATGAAAATATTGGCAAAGGGACATAAGCAGACAATTAAAAAAAAAATACAGGTCAGTCAGGCCGTTATATTAATTTCCTATGGCTGCTATAACAGATTAAAGCTTGGTGTTTTCACATAATACAGGTTTATTCTCTTACAGTTCTGGAGGTCAGATGTCTGAAATGGGTTTCACTAGGTCAAAACCAAGGTGTCCCCTGGCCATGCTCCCTTGAGAGGCTCTAGAGGAGAATCCATTTCCTTGCCTTTTCCAGCATCTAGAGCTACATTCCTTGCATTCATTGGCTCATGGCCACATCCTGCATCTTCAAAGCCAGCAGCATAGCATCTTCAAATCACTCTCCTTCCATGGTCCCACCACCTTCTGTTTTGCGGTGTCTCTCTACCTCCCTCTTGTAAGGAGATTTGATTTGTGATTGCCTTTAGGGCACACTCAAATAACCCACAATAATGAGTCTGTTCAGGATCCCTAATATCTATAAAGTCTCTTTTGTCATATAAGGTACCATTCATAGGTTCTAGGTATTAAGGCCTGGATAACCTTGGGTGCCGTTATTCAGACTACCGTACCTATCGAATAGCATGTGGGGTGGAACAATGCATGTATGTTTATCTGTGTATGTATGCATGAAGCCTGTGCAAGGACATACATATGGTATGTTTGGGATTGATTATTTCATGTGTTGAGATTACAGGGTATTTATAATTTTCGAAAAGTTCCTTTTATATACTTTTTTTGTATTTTCAGAATTTTTATGGAATATATATTAGTGATCAGAAAAAGCTAAGTAACTCTTGGAAAGATGGTTTTTTAATAGACAATTTTGTAAGAACAGTTTTAGATTTACGGAAAAGTAGAAAATATACTGGAGTTCCCACAGACCCTATACCTAGTTTCCCCTGTGATTAGTATCTTACATTAGTATGGTACATTTGTTACAGTTTATGAACCATTTTGGATGCACATCACTAACTAAAGTCCATACTTTGTCCAGATTTCCTTAGTTTTTACCTAATATCCTTTTTTTTTTTTTTTGAGATGGAGTTTCACTCTTGTTGCCCAGGCTGGAGTGCAATGGCGTCATCTTGGCTCATTGCAACCTCCGCCTCCCAGGTTCAAGCCATTCTCCTGCCTCAGCCTCCCGAGTAGCTGGGATTATAGGCATGAGCCACCATGGCTGGCTAATTTTGTATTATTAGTAGAGATGGGGTTTCTCCATGTTGGTCAGGCTGGTCTTGAAGTCCCGACCTCAGGTGATCTGCCTGCCACAGCCTCCCAAAGTGCTGGGATTACAGGTGTGAGCCATCGTGCCTGTCTTGTGTGTGTGACAGAGAGAGAGAGATGGAGTTTCGCTCTTATTACCCAGGCTGGAGTGCAATGGTACGATCTCGGCTCACTACAACCTCTGCCTCCTGGGTTCAAGTGGCTGCCTCACCCTCCCAAATAGCTGGGATTACAGGTGCCTGCCACCATGCCTGGCTAATTTTTTTGTATTTTTAGTAGAGACGGGGTTTCACCATGTTGGCCAGGCTGGTCTCAGGTGATCCATCCGCCTTGGCCTCCCAAAGTGCTGGTATTACAGGCATGAGCCACGGCGCCTGGCCAGTATCCTTCTTCTTCTGTTACAGGATCTGTCTCATCCAGGAGATCACTGGATGTTTAGTTGTCAGGTGTCCTAAGGCTCCTCTTGGCTGTGACAGTTGTCAGACTTTCCTTGTTTTTGATGACCTTGACAGATTTGAAGAGTACTGATTAGGTATTATGTAGGAATTTTGTACGTGTTGGAATTCATCTGGTATTTTTCTCATGGTTAGACTGGGGTTATGTATGGGTTTGAAGGAGGAAGCCCAAAGAGGTAAAGTGTCATTTTCATCATATCCTATCAAGAATACATACTATCAACATGATTTATCACTGTTATTGCCCTTGATTGCCTGGCTGGGATATTGTTTGTAAGGTTTTTTCCACTGCGAAGTCACGGCTTACCCCTCACCTCTATCCCCTTTCCATGTTGCAGTCTTAGGAGGTCACTATGTGCAACCCACAATGAAAGAGTCTGGGGAGTTACGCTCTTTAAGGCAGAATTTATCCACAAATGATTTGGACTTTTTTCCCCCTCTTAGACTGTACCAAAAGGGTCATGTAAAAAAATCCTCATCAAAGTGTCGTAAGAGATATTGACAATATCTCAGAGGATAAGAGTCCAGTATTCTCAAAAGAATCTCGTAAGGCTTCATGAGATTCTGAGCATGTTTCATTTTAGGTTGGAGATTACTAAGAAACCTGCAGTAACTGACCATTTAAGGGATATCTAACATCATATGGGTGGCCCACCTTTTGTAATTTCTAAAAGGATATGTTGTAATTGATTAAATACTTAAGATCTGTACATATTAGATCAATTATTCTCTTACATGTTACATATTATTCACAAAAATGTAGTTGGAAGCTGGACTTAATTTTGAAAGGAAAAAAGAAAAATTAGATGAGAGATATTTATACTGATGGAAAAATGAATGTGTGGAATGCACTTTACGAATAATTTTGCAGTTGGGCTTGCAGTTCTCTTTTCCTTCCTTGAAAAAGCCTGACCTTCACAACACCAGGTCTTTTCATGTTTCTAAAGAATCTGTAGTTTTGTAGTACAGCACACATGATATTTGCTGTCATTTGGTGAATATCTGTCTCCCCAACTGGACTGAGAGCAGGAGGGGAGCAGGGACCATGTGTGCTCCGCTCACTGCCGTGTCCCCTGTGCCTGGCACATAGTAGGCATACAGATATAAATGGACTGTCATTGCATATGCTCTTTTGAACTTTTAGAAATATGGGTGGTTAACTATAGGGTACATTTTTGGGTAAATAATCATAACATAATTCTGTGTGAAAAGGGTAGTTTAAAATAGTAGTATCAAAGATACATTTAGCTGTCTTGTCCCCTCCACATGAGGTGTGTGTATATATATATATATATGGAGGGGTGTGTGTGTATGTGTACATGTATATACAGAGGGGAAGAACACTAGAAGTACATTATTGCAAAACATTAAGAGTGATTATCTCTGCGTTATAAGATTATGGCTGGCTTTAATTTTCTTCTTTGTTTTTTAGCCCTTTCCAAGGAATGTACTATTTTATAATTTGGAAATACCACAATATTTTACCTGATATTACTTTTTTTTTTTTTAGATAGAGTCTTGCTCTGTCATCCAGGCTGGAGTGCAGTGGCATGATCTTGGCTCACTGCAATCTCTGCCTCCCATTTTCAAGAGATTCTTCTACCTCAGCCTCCCGAGTAGCTGGGACTACAGTTGTGTGCCACCACACCTGGCTAATTTTTGTGTTTTTAATAGAGATGGGGTTTCTGTGCCTCAGCCTCCCGAGTAGCTGGGACTACAGGTGTATGCCACCACACCTGGCTAATTTTTGTGTTTTTAGTAGAGATGGGGTTTCTGCATATTGGACAGGCTGATCTGGAACTCCTGACCTTGTGATCTGCCCGCCTCAGCCTCCCAAAGTGCTGGGATTACAGGCATGAGCCACCGCGCCTGGCCCCGGTATTACTTTTATAATCAGAAAAATTAGTGAGTCCTATACTAAGAAGTTTCAGTTCTAGCGTGTGCAAGAGCCCTTGAGGCAAGATAAGAAATTTGTGAGGTCAGCGACCACCTTATTCCCCAGGAGAGCTTTTATCTATTTAAACCAGAAAAGTACAGCTGAACTTTAGAACTGTGTTCTATCTTAGAGTCTTTGAACTAGTATTTCCTCTGCCTATTATCTTCAAGTTTCATCAAAACCACTTCAAATATTGTTGATCAATTATTAATTTAAAAGTGGAGTTTTCCAACTATGTTAGTATGACTGTCATGTCATATATGTGTTTAATCCCCTTTGCTAATTTAACTTTTGTGCATTAATCTAAAAACTTTGGGGAAAAATTAATTTTCTCTTATTTAGTATTTTTTTAAAAGTCCATGATATAAAATCTACGTCTAAGTCGGCAATAACAGCCTACATTTTTCCTTAAGACAAAAGAGATCATTCATTTTTTTTTTCTTAATTGACCTTTTTTAGATAGGAGATGAATCCCTGGATTAGATGAAAAATCATGAAAATATTCTGTGGTTTTTATAAATCCCGGCCATTTGTATTTTCCTTGCCTGTTTCTCTAGATAATTAAACAGTGATGGATTAGAATTAGGCTGCAGCAGAGACTGGGGGAAAAAAATCTCCCGGCATCCCTTCCTGCAGAAGCATCCGCTACAGCAGTGAGTGTAGCTGCCACTTTAACTGACATGTCTTAAATTCTGCCCTGGAAAGCCCTGGGATGCTGTCAGCTGCCTCGGCAACTACTTTGCTTGTGCCTGAGAATTGAGAGTCTCATTGGAGACCAAGGAATAAAATAGAAATTGAGGATTTTTGTTGGCTTTAAAATTGAGGATTTTCTCTTCTTTTTGTTGGCTTAAAAAAAAAAAATCTGATAGAAGAGAGGGAAAGACATCTTCATAGTGGGACTGTATTCATTCCTCCAAAGTTACAGCTGCTCTAAATCTGTGAGTATGTTGTATCTGTTTAGCAGTTCCTGGGGGTATGATTCAAATGTTCTCTTTAAATCTATGAGGTTTTAATTTAAGGAAGACTATGTAAATTTTTTAAACCCCAGTTAAATTTCACTGGAGCCTGCAGTTTTTGTTAGATGACATTGTCTTCCTTAAGAGCTTCATGTCAAGCCTGCTTGGCTTGCCCTCTAACCTTCCCCCTACCTTTTTAAAACTTCCTAAGGTGAGTGCTGAAATTGGAGAAAATAGTGTGACTTGCTGCTGCAGAGGATCTGGTCTTCCCGGGATGCCATGGCTGGTTTATTGCTGCTGCAAGGTGTGCGTCTGGGTGGCTGAGACTCCTGCTGCAGAACAATGGCAGGATGATGCTGGTTCACTTTGTATTTACTGTTTGTCTTATGTCCTCTGCTGGTTTCATTATAGGATTTTGCTTTGTTTTGTTAGGGTGATTAGAACCTTAGAGATTAGTAAAGTGGCTTGTCCTCAGAAATAGCATGTGTTGATTGTCCTAGACCCTCACCTCTGACTTTGCTATGCTGGCTTTAGTGGTCTCTTTGTAGCAGATTACAGTAAATGTGAGCCACCAAAAAGTGACCTTTGTATGGCCACCTTTTAAAATTGTGCATCAGAATCAATGCTGGTTTTTTTTTTTTTTTGGTGACGCAGACCCTGAAGTCTAAACATCTGTCCTTAGTCATCGTGTCCCATTTTCCCCCTTTGGAATTTCCTGGACGCTACAGTTGTATCCTTGCTGAATTAGGGAGTGAGTTTTGAGCATTCTCTAAAGACAGGTTAATTTTCGATTCTCACTATAACCCCCATATGTTCCTGATTTGTCTTTGTTGAATAAAAGTCATATTATTTTAGTGAACGGATTCATATAATTTGGCTACTGATTTTGTTCCTTTATCTTAAAATTACATTAGCTGAAATGATTTTTAAAAGTTGATATGTTCAGAGATCAGTAGTCAAAATACTTTTAAACACCAACTGGTACCAGTCATCTTTGTAGATGCAGAATATGTTTGACTTAGGCTGACATATTATATGAGCTTTTTGGGTGCCAGTATTTTGGTTGACTTCCTGCAGGGTAAAATAAATCAAGGATTTAAAAAAAGAAATTTTCTCTACCACCCAGAGATCAAACATCTGCTGTTTTTATTTTTAAACATTTTGTCATACCTAAATGCAGCAACTTTGAATTTAATTAGGAAGGATTGCTAAAATTAGGAAATTCTGCCTTACTTAGACTTGCAAAGATCTTATATTTGTTCATTCATTTCATTCATTCATTCATTCATTCACTCATTCATTCATTCATTCATTCAAAAATGTTTACATCTGTTACGAAGCTATTGCCAGGCTCTGGGGATATGATGCTGAACAAAATATTGTATCTGCCCTCATGGAGCAGATATTTTTAGCAGATGAAGAAGACATTAAAAAACTGATTACCTTATTTCATTAAAATTGTGTTAATTTTTCACCTCTAGAAGTGTAAGCACTTTGTGGCCAAACATATAGGACATATAAATACTTGCAACTAGTTCTGCCCCCGATCTGAAGCTACAGATCCCTAGAATGCTTAAGCTGGAAAGATGTTGGAAATGAGTTAATTGGTTCAGCAAGCTTATGGTCAGTGCTATAGTAAGTGTCTAGTGCAGGTCAGTAAGAAATGGTTCTGCTTTGGAGGAGCTCAGAGTCTTAGTGGGAAAGGAAGGGAAATTGGCTATGTTAGAATGTCCTGTCATCAATTTCCTATTTTACCAGAGAAGAAACAAACTAGATTATTTTTAAAATGTCTTCTATGCCAGGCCCAGTACCCATGGTAAATCTGTTTTTGACTTTTAAAAAAATCTTCAACAGCAACCATGTCGATTGACCTTAATGCTTGCATTTTCCAAATGAGGAAAACGAGGTGCACAAAGGCTAACTCAGTTGCCTAGGGTCACTCAGAATGCTGATTGTAACTCCATCATGCTAAAAGTTGGCAAGTCTGTGCTCCTTGAAGTTGTTGGATTATGTCCCTTAGTCATAGCTTGGTTGAGGGAGCCTCTCCCCCCCTCCCTTTTTTTTCCTTTTTCTTCTTTTTTCTCCTAAAGCCACATTATACTCCTAAATATCATGCTGTCATGAAACAGGAAAATGCTTAGTTTTTTTGCCTCATGCCCAGAGGTCTTCCTAACATTTTGCACTTGCTTTCTACTTGTTAACTGCACATATACACTTGTCTTTGGTTCACTTTAGAAAGTTCAGGACTGCGCTTATGGGCAGATTATGCTTCAGTGGCAGGCCAGAACATGGAAAACATACATCCTAGAAGAGGAATGCTAATGGAAAAATCAAGGGTTTCTTGAATTTTAGGTCCAGAATGCTGTTCACCCACATGAGCAATTCCCTATAGGGTTGGCATGTTCAGAGTTGTACACAGCACTTGTCTCCTGTAATGAGTTGGAATTCTTGCAGATTTGAAAACTGAGGGTAGGGAGTAACTTTTCAGGAGAGAGATTATAGCACATCTTGTTCTAAAGACCATTTGTCCATTTCCTTTCAGAAAGACTCTTAGAATGTTCTTCCTTAGAATGAAGTCTTCCTTATCGAAGATGAACTTTGCCTCTCTACAGCCTCCTACCCACTGATCTTAAGATAAAACCACTCTTGTGTGTTTACAAAGTAGTCTTTCAAATACGTAAAATGTTCTCCCTACCAGTCCCTGGTGGGTCTTTGTATATCCAAGACATGTCCTCAGTTATGTCACTTCTTCCTCCTGTGACATATTTCATGCTTCTCTCCATTCTGATCTCTTTGCATTTGACCTGTCATAGTTTCTAGATGGTTACAACCAAAACTGGACACTATTTCTAATTTAGTCTGGTCAGCCAAAAGTGCAAATGGGTCATTTTTTTCTCATGATGCAGTAATGTTCTTCTTCTGTTAATGTTTCCTGTGTTACATATCAATAGCTGTGTAACAAATCACCACAGAGCTTAGTAGACTTAAAACAATAACAATCGGCCGGGCGCGGTGGCTCAAGCCTGTAATCCCAGCACTTTGGGAGGCTGAGGCGGGCGGATCACGAGGTCAGGAGATCGAGACCATCCTGGCTAACACGGTGAAACCCCGTCTCTACTAAAAAATACAAAAAACTAGCCGGGCGCGGTGGCGGGCGCCTGTAGTCCCAACTACTCGGGAGGCTGAGGCAGGAGAATGGCGTGAACCCGGGAGGCGGAGCTTGCAGTGAGCTGAGATCCGGCCACTGCACTCCAGCCTGGGCGGCAGAGCGAGACTCCGTCTCAAAAAAAAAAACAAAAACAAAAACAAAAACAATAACAATCATTTATTTGCTTATGAATGTGCTGTTTATGCAGGTCTCAGAGGAAATGACTCATTTCTGCCAACTTGGAATCACCTGGAGTGGCTCAGCTGGAGCTGAAGGAGCCATTGCTATGATGGCTCACTTACCTGGCTGGCCAGTTAGTATTGGTTGTCAGCTGGGAATTTAGCTAGAACTGTTGGTCAGGGGCTTTGTTCTCCTCCATGTTGTTGCTTGAGCTTCCTCACAGCATGGCAATGTGATTCTAAGCTTTAGTATTCCAAATGACAAGGAGTAGCAACTGCTAGTCTTTAAGATTTGGACCCCAAACTAACACAGTATTGTATTGGTCAAGTAGTCACAGAGACTACCTTGATTCAAGGAGTGGGGCCGTAGACCTCACTTCTTGACAGAAAGAGTGACAAAGAATTTGTGGCCATTTATAATCTATCACATTTGCCGAATTACTGGTCTCTGTCCTTCTCTCTATTTCCAGCTAAGTCACACACCTTAAACTTCTCAACTAAAACCCCAAGAGTTAGATTTGAATTTTTGTTAAGGTAAATCTCCTCATCTTGTACTTGGATTATTGTTATTTTGCTTGTAACAGTTTTATTCTCCTTGAGTTCTTCTTAGAATTACAGTCAGCCTTTTATGTTGTGGGCTCCGCATCTGAGAATTCAACTGACTGTGGATGGAAAATATTTGAAAAAATAACAATACAACAATTAAAAATAATACATATAAAAACAATATAATCCAATAAAACATAGCATTTACATTGTGTTAGATATTATAAGTAATCTAAAGATGATTTAAAGTATATGGGAGGATGTGCATAGGTTATATGCAAATACCATGCCATTTTATATAAAGGACTTGTGCATCTGGATTTTGGTATCCTCAGGGGTCCTGGAACCAATCTCTTGTGTAGACCAAGGGATGACTGTATTCTTTTCAAGATTATTTGAATCTTGACTCTGGTGACCATGATATGAACTATTTATCCTGGGGCTGTGTCATCAACATATATAGTTAGAATATTTACTGTGTCCTCACTGAAGACATGATAAACAAGTTAGACAAGACAGGCCTGTGAGTATTAGAGACCCCTCTGCAGACTAACATCAAGACGTTAACCAAAATGTTACGTGACTCTGGTGATTTATTTATTTATTTGTTTTTTTATTTTTGAAATGGAGTTTTGCTCTTGTTGCCCAGGCTGGAGTACAATGGCGTGATCTTGGCTCACCGCAACCTCCGCCTCCCAGGTTCAAGCGATTCTCCTGCCTCAGCCTCCCTAGTAGCTGGGATTACAGGCATGCACCACCACACCCAGCTAATTTTGTATTTTTAGTAGACACGGGGTTTCTCCATATTGGTCAGGCTGGTCTCGAACTCCTGACCTCAGGTGATCTTGCCCGCCTTGGCCTCCCAAAGTGCTGGGATTATAGGCGTGAGCCACCGCGCCTGGCCTGGTGATTTATTTCGGTAAGAAATGACTTAACAGTGCCATTCTACCCAAGTTCTCTGACTTTGCCAGAGAGTCTTAGGTGGTAATTGCAGAAGACCAAACAACACGAGTTTCATGTGAATTTCATGCATGGTTTACTTTTCTTTTGATGTTTTATCAGTCTACAGGTGTGGAAAGTCTTTAGTGACCAAGTGGTATGAATGGATT